TTGCAGTAATAGCTGCCTCACTCCCAAGCCAACAAACATTTGACCAGGAGCAGGCTGTTTGAGGTAAGATGGACAGATTGCCTTCAATCAGGCTATCTGGGTTTTCGTAAGTGAGTCCAAAACCTCTTCAAATAGAGCTCTCTCTGCTGAACTCAGGCTGGATGAATGAGCCTACACAAGTTTTATAACGACAAAAAGCAGCTAGTGCTGGTAGGCCCAAACCCATGAGTAAAGCTGGCAATAGCTGTTGAAACATGACATCCTTCTATTCAACAATACCTGTAATGTTTTTATATCTCCCATCCAAAACTGGCCCTTGCTTCTTTGAATTTTGCCTATGCTTTATTTTTTCTCCCCCTTTTTGCCCCCTGGTTTCCAGCTACAGAGAGAGATCACAGAAGTCAAAGCACTAGAATTCGTTTCTCCAGTTCACACAATCCCTTTAGGCCTCCTTCCTCTTCTATAATATTTTGATGTGCTTGGCTAAATTCACCCTCTCCCACCATAAACAGACACATTTGTTGATTCTACCGAAGCTTTGTGATAGAAATGGGCTTTGAGGGAGTCAGGGATAGACACCAGAGGCTTACTGCCAGTGTTCCTAAGAGCAGGATTTGCCCATTTTAAAGCAGAGAGGTTTCCTCTGCAAATTCCATTTCACGGTCTAACAGATCTCAGCATTAGCTACCTGCAGTTCATTGTCAACCTAAATGTTCTTTTGCTCAGTTTTAGCCAATTACTCTTAGTCATAGCTATAGCTCTTGGATTATCTTAAAACACTTTTCTCTCTTTAATGCTCGCATCACTTTTGGGGTGGTTATCACCTCACTGCTCACCATTTCCCCAAGGTGGCAAAAAGGACAATGTGATGCTATAAAAAGAAGAGAACATGGTCAAATAATCCCTCTTCATTCTCATTTCCAGGAAATGTAATTACAGTTCTTGTAATGTCTCTGTAACTCTGCTCTACAGACTTTGCTGAAAGTGACTTACATCACTTATGTGACTTATGTGAAGTTATGTTCTGGATGTCTACTTGAGACTTTGGAAAATAAACCCAAAATGTGCAGGAAGGATCAGGAAGGGTCCATCTTCCCTCTGTATTTAGTGTGAGGTACATAAGAACATGGCCTGAGTGTGGGGGTCAAAGGAGTGCTGCCAAGAGCTGGCCTGGGAGACATTCTTCCATCATACCGGGGCTCTGTTTTGTGGAATGGGTGGTGGTAGAGTAAAGAAGGAATAACTCAGTGACAAGACAGCTTGTCAGCCTGTGCAAATACTTGTTCACCTTCTCACACACTGTTATTAGCATTTTATACATATCTGCACATCATTCCCTAAAAATACTCATTTTGCTCCTGATCTCCCAATGTAATAACATGCAGAGGAAGCAGAGTTGCTGCTCAGTCTCTCTGAAACTCAATGTTAGCAGTGCCTAAACACAGGAGAAAACCCCAAGCCCCTCAACAACCAACCCGTCTTCACAGACCAAATAAGGGTTCTGAAAATGTGGCTGTTGCCCATTGCTGGGCGAGCCCTTTTCCTTTCTTATTTCAGCTGCATTGTGCGTTGAGCAGCTGTGACATCCAGTGGCCAAACACAATACACTTGGGTTTGGTACAGAACTCTTCATACATGGTAACAATAACAGAGCCCTTCCATTGCACTTTTCATCTTCAAAGAGCTATATAAACAGTAATTCATTAACCCCTACACAGCTCAGTGGGGCAGATGAATGCAGTGACCCTAAAAGGGAGAAGGGGATGCCACTCTCCAAGCATGGCAGGCAGCTCGCTAGGCTGGTGAAGAGGCTGCCCTAAGGCCAGAGTGCAAGACCATCACCACCACTGTAGGGAGCAACTGCTGAGAGATAAGGGATCAGAAAGGTGCAACTCATTCAGTATCTGATGAAGAGGCCACACCTGAGGGAAAGGTTGTACTTGTTTTCTCTGGAGCAAGAGAGCTCATGCTAATGGACAGGGGAAAGCTCTATGAGAGGACAGAGCAGGACCAGAGCTGTTGTGGGAGAGGTGC